TGCTGTCTCCTTTGGTACCTGCATTTGCCCCACCAGGCCAGGGCCAGTCCAGGATAGATTTTAGGGAGGTGAAGGATCTGTAGAACTGGGAGCAGGCACAGTGTCCTCCTCTATGCCAGGCCATAGTGTCTGTTGCTCTGCTTGTCTGGCAACCCTCCGTGCTGTGGTACATCTGCCTGCCCGCCAGAGTCCCCCAGTCACAGGTGTCTCTACTCCATCCCTAACCCCTCTACCCCAAATGCTCAGAGATCGGCCTGTCCCTTAACTGAATTGAGTCCTTCGGTGCCTGGCCTGTTTGCCCCCCTGCTTCATATTCTTCCCTTGTAAACAACCTCAAAATCTAGTTTCAAAGGTCAGCGCTAGCTTCTCCATGGCAAGGCATGGCGTGCCTTTGCACCTCCCTCTGGGACAAAGTCAGGTTGCTTTTCCTAGTGCTGTTAGTCTATCCCTGTGTGTGTGTGTGTGTGTGTGTGTGTGTGTGTGTGTGTGTGTGTGGGTGGGCGGGTGTGTGGGGGTGTGGGTGTGGGTGTGGGTGTGTGGGTGTGTGTACCTGCATTTGTTTGGTGGGAGGGAAGTTTGGCCTCAGTCCCATGCACAGCGTTGACCCTCACAGTCCCCTGGCCCCATATTCCTCTTCTGCCTGGCTTGAATGGGGCTCATTACCCACTTTAAGCCATGTTTTGGCCGGTCTCTTCCTCCCAATGCCAGAGCCCAGCTGCTCTCTAGGAAACCCTCTCAACTGGGGCAGACCCAGGCCAAGGGAGATCTTCCCAGAATGAAAGCCTGGCTGTCCCTAGCCCGAGCTCGCGCCCACTTTGTGCTCGCACTCCGTCTAGCGCGCGCCCAACATTCCTCAGGCGTTACTCCGGTAGGCACCAAAGGACGCGGACGAGGACGCGGACGAGGACGGTGCTGTCGCTAGACGGGAGCCGCGGTCTCAGCAGGTGCTCAAGAGAGCCAAGCCCTGGCACAGTGTGGCCGGAAGAAAAGGTGTTAGAGAGGTGGAGGGTCTGGAGCTCCGTGCCTTCCTCTGTGCCAAGGAACAGTGTCTGCACCTCCTCTTCACTGCCCACCCTCTTTGCCAGGGCTCATCTGCACGCTAAGACTTGCCCCTGGGCGCAGGCACCTCTGTTCCTTCCCCTAAGCTCTGCCCCCAAAATCCCCAGAAATAGCGGTGTCCATGACTGAGGGGAGTCCCTCAGGGCCAGGCTGTTTGCCCCCGGCTTCATCTCCCTCTCCCACAAACAACTCCCAAATCGAATTGCCCAGGCCAGGGCGCATTTCCGAATGCCAAGGCATGGCATACTTTTCCACCGTCTTCTCGAACAAAGTTCGCTTGTTTTCCCTAGTAGTGTGAGTGCCTCTGTGTGTGCGTGCATGCGTGTGTGTGTGTGTGTGTGTGTGTGTGTGCCTATTTATGTTTGGCAGGAGGGAGGGCATGCCACAGTCCAGTGCCCAGCGTTGACCCTGCCATTTCCCTGCTCCCATATACCCGTCTTGTCGGGCCAGAATGGGGCTCATTACCCATTTTATGCCCGGTCTCAACCTCCCAATGCCAGAGTCCAGCTGGCCTCTAGCAAACCTTCTAAAATGGGCAAAGCCCAGGCCAAGGCTGATCCTCCCAGAATCAAAGCCTGGCTGCCCGGAGCCCGAGCTCGCGCACTCCTTACCTTCACAGTCCTTCTGGTGCGCGCCAGCGTTCCCCCGACTGTACTCTGGTAGCCATCAAAAGAGGCGGACGCTGTTGCAGACGGGGCGGTTGGGGTACAGATATAGTGGTCTCAGCAGGTGATCTGTCGGGCCACTTGCCAACCGTGTAATGTGGGGCAGCCCCAGGCCAAGGTTGATCCTCCCAGGATGAAGGTCCGGCTGGCCCTAGTCCCAGCTCAATCCCGCTCCTTCCTCGCGGCCCCTCTGGCGTGGGCTTCGCTTTTCCCACGAGTTCCCTTTCGTGTTATCCGGGTTCCCGCTAAAGGACCCGGAGGGGGACGTGGACGAGGAAGCGGTGCCAGGGCAGGGAGGAAGCAGTCTCCGCAGCTACGGGGGCTGGTCTGGCCATGCCAGGACCGGGAGGCAGAGGAGGTGTGGGCAATTGGAGTGTCTGGAGCCCTAGGTGAGGACACGGTTCCCTCCTCTGTGGCAGGACACAGTGGCTGCCCCTTCTTTTGTCTGCACAGCCTCTGTGCCAAGGCACATGTGCCTCTGCTCCATCCCCTACCGTCCCCACCTAGTTCTCCAGGTACAGGAGTGTCCATGACTGAATTGAATCTCCCAATGCCAAGCCTGCTTTTCCACCCCATTTCATCTCCCTCCCCCTGCCCGCCAAAAAAACAAAAAAACAAAAAAACAAAACCAAAACCAAAAACAAAACTCCAGTATGGACTTGTACAGGGCTTGACAATTTAGAAATCCCTGAGGAAACATTCAGGTTGGACTTCCCGAGCAAGCAGATGGGAAGGCCTAGGGCCTGCCTTGGGGGGGGGGACCACTTGTCAACCTTGACTCTTTTGTAGCATGAGTATAATATTTCTCAAGAGCTGTGATGGTGAAATGAAGAAAAAGTCTATAGAGGGCCAGGGCTGTTTCTCATGAAGCCTATTGCCCAAGGGTCAGGGTTAGGATCAGCTGGTTAGCTTGGACCAGTACATGTGATCCCTTCCACCCACCAGAACAGGGTTTTGGGTGGTGGGGGAAACCAAAGACTTGGAAGAGAAGGTGGTTCTTTCCCTCAAGCTTACAGTCTATGGGGAGAAGAACAAGTCGTGTTTGTGAAGCAACCCAATCACAAGGCCAGTGTTACAAGCTCAGATTCGATAAAGATGCTGTGAGGGAGAGAGTCAGCAAAGAGTTGGGCCTCTGTTTCAGCAGGGAAGCCTAGTGCAGGATCCTTTTGAGAGTAGACTTAGTGGCCAGTCTGAGGCAGGGCTGAGCTCAGGCCATGAGGTTGGTGAGCTTGACCCTGGTAGGCAGCCATCATCAATGTGCCTTGGAGCTGCTTCAGAAGCACTTGAGGAGAGAAGCTGCCAGCCCATCTTCCCTTTTGGAGGAATGAGTCTAGGGAATTTGGTCCCTCCCTTTCAAAGTCGCCCTCATCAGTCCCTTCTCAGGCTCTCCCAGAAAATAGCATCAAGTCACTCAGTCAGTAAGCACTGCTTCTCATTCCTTCTTTGGGGAATTTCTAGAATTACTCAAGTCAAAGGCTTTGAGGATGTCTCGGCACAGTGAGCGCCTGCGCCTCCGTTACCAGGCACTTGGTGATGGAGGCAACAGCAGCAGCAGCAGAAGCAGCAGCAGCACTGGAGGGAATTCCCAGGTGGCTGAGCAGCACACCAACTGGAGGGAGGGTCCCCTCAGGTAAGAGGAGCCAGAGGAGACTCAGCTGCCTTCTCCATCACAACTCCCCAGGGCAGCCAAGGGCCTTGGCTGCTGCCATGTGCACACTTCTTTCCTGCCCCCAATTTTGATAGACACTTCACTCTACTGCTTGCTTTCCCCCCAAACCAGAGAATTTCCTCTCCCCCTGTGGTCCCACCCTTTGGCTGCTGCTGCCTTCTCTTTCTGAGAACAGCAACTGAGGAGGGGCAACTTTGAGCATAGAGAAGGCTGGAAACCCTGAGGCCTGAAGCTGGGCAGGGAACAACCCCTCTCAGCCACAGATCTCTTCTCCCTGGCCCGAAGGCCCATGCTTCTTAGGGTGAAGCCAGGTGGGTGAAGGGCTGTGGGTGAGGAAACATTTTCAGCTGATTCTTGGCTCCCCTGATACCTCATCCTGGTGGTTTCATGTGGAAAGAGCCCCCCTCCCCCGGCCCATGGTAGCTGTGGCTTGCTTTAATTCTGCCTCCCACATGAAAAATTATTCATCTCTTTAAGGAGAAGAACAGCAAAAGAGAGCTTTGGCTATCATTTCTTTTCATCCTCGAAGTCTCCAGCAAAGTCTCATTCCCCTGCAGGCCTTGCCCCTTCCATTTCCTTCTCACCTGTCCTCTTTTTCACCCTCTTCTCTTTGCTCTTCATGCTTGCTGTCCCCCAGGACTCTGAGGAGGAAGTCCAGTAGGGTCAAAGGCTTCTCATCAGGCCTCTCACCAGCCCCTCATCTGGCCCTGTACACCTGTAACACCCCTGAATCCTCCTCAGGGTACTTCTCCGAGGATGACTCTGCAGGTAGGCATCACTTCTTCTGCCCTGGAGGCCCATTCCCCAGGCGCTGCCCCACTTCCTTCAAAGGGTGCCCCATAGCTGGGGGTGGAGCAAGTATCTCTCAGATAAGAGGAAGAGAGAACTCTGCAGTCTGGCTCCAGTTGGGCGATTGAAGGGTGGAGGGGGGGCTCAGGCCTCAGACATGGTTGTCTCTCCTCCTGGGTGGATGCTCATTTCTTCCCTTCCCTGCAGGGCACTCCGTTACCCACCAGCCTGGCTCTGCATCCACCTCCAATAATGGTGCCTCCCAAGTTGGCATCTTTAACTGGATGGCAATATACATTTCAGGTGGGTTGTACCAGGGGGTGGCCACGGTGCCCAGGGGAGTGGTGCTTCACTGTACCGAGAAGAGTTTCTTCATGCCTATGCAGGGGCAAGCTGGGCCAGGGTGGAGTAACTTGAGGACTCTATGGGGAGATGGGCTTATTATGGAAGGATCCCCAAGCACAGCTGAAGAGCTCTGGGAGGATGGAAGAACAGAATAGCCAGAAGCAGCTGCAGAGTTGGCATGCTGGGAGACGACTAGATCTGGGAAAGGATGGGCTGGCAGGGGCAAGCCTTTGAATCCCTCTGCTGTGCCCTTTACAGGTTGGCTCTTTGCAGCATTCCAGTGGTGCCTGGGAAACACCTGGCACTGCCTGACCACAGCTGCCTCCCTCCAGGATTTCTTTCTGTTAATCAGGTCAGTGAGGCCTCCCTGGGGCCTGTCACAATTTAAGATCCACTGCTCCAAGGGACTCCACAGTCCTCCAGGTCAATTTCCCCTTAGGCCTTGCCCTGTTCCTTTTCAGCTTTTGGAGACTTTTACTCAATGAATCTTATGATAGACTCAGGTCAGGGCCAGGAGTGTGCTGGGACCAGCTGCAACCTGCTCCTGAGAGTCAGCTCCCAATTAGGGTTTCATTGAGTGTCTCCACTGAAGAAGATGATGGGAGAAATGGGTTGTGGGTGCCTTGCCCTCCTCCAGAGCTGGTTGTTGAACATTTAGCAGCACTCGCCTGCCCCCATTCCTCTTGCTTCTTCAGGGAAGTGGGTTGGCTCTGACTACAAGTGGGACTCTCTTCCTGAGTATCTTTTAGGAGCTCTCCCCTCAGTAGTTCCTGCCTCTGATCACAACTGAGTCTGGTGAGTTCACTTCTGCTAGTCTGAGGGTCCTGAGTTTGCAGGGACACTCCCTCCTTTGGGGTTCCAATCCAGAATTTTCTGCCCAGTCTTCCAGGTCTCCAGGCCATGCTTGCAGTTTCTCTGTGGAGGAGCATGGGCAGTTCTCCAGGCTGCCTCCAGGGCTGAATCCAGGAGCCTCTAGAGCAGGGGTGGGGAACCTGAGGTCCCCAGGCCACATGTGGCCTTCTAGGTGCTTGGGTGCGACTTTTGAACTGAGTCCCAGTTTGACAGAATCAATCCTTTGCTGAAGGGGATTGATTTGGTGAACTCTGGTTACAGTGGAGGACCTAGTGGACCACATGTGTCCTCGAGGCTGGTAGGTAGCCCAGGCCTGCCCTGGATTCTTGGGACCATAGGCTGGGCAATGGTGACCAGCCGGCCTCAGCAGGGGTCCCTCCTGCAGCTCTTCCAAGTCCAAATGGGCAAGCATTGTAAGGACTTAGACAAAAGAAGACTAACTAATTCATGAGCAGTGTATTAACGTAGTTTTGATGGAGGCCTGATACGGAGACACCTTCCACTAGACCTGTCAAAGGGCAGCATGTCCCCTTGCATAACAACACGAGCGCCTTTCGGAAAAGCCAAGTTTTCTCCTTCCACTTTACGCCAAGGGTTGTCCATACAAGCCCAGTTCTCCACTTCTTGGGTACCCAGTGGCAGGGGGTGGAGGTGGGAGGGGGAAGAGTGGGCACACCCTTTTGGTTGTTTCATTTGCCACTTAGGGAGGGTCTGCTAGGAGCCAGGGGTGGTGAAGGGCAAGTGCTAACATCTCTTTCATCCCAATGAAATCCAGGAGCTTTTGCACTTGGAAGAAGTTGCTCCTGTTCGTCTTGGGGATGCTGTTCTTTGTGGCTTCGCTGGCTTATGGTGAGCCTTGTGGAGTGCCCAGGTCGGCCACTCCAGATGGGGGCGAAGGACAAGGGTTTGGGGACAGGGCTGTCAAAATGTGGAAGAGAGATCGTTGAAGGGGAACCTTTAGGGAGCCAAAGGGACAAAAGCCCTGGCAAAAGGGACCCAGGCCACATGTGGGCAAGCTCTCCTGCCTCAAATGTCAGAGTTCCATCCTGTCTCTCCTTCTCCTCTCCATCCAATCCAACAAACCTTTATTGTGTGTCTTCTGTATGCTGGCCTCAGAGCCTCATGCTGCAAGGTCAGGATGGCTGTCCCACCCACCTTGAGCATGTCAGGGGCATGGAGTTAATTTATTTGTGCCCTCCGTGGTCACTGACCCAGCACTTGAGGGTGGGGGATTGGGAGAGGCACTGAATCAGGAAGGAATCTATTATCTGAGCAAGACACACAGTCAATGAAAGGTCTGGGGGCTTTGCCCCTTCTCATTGGTGAGAACAGACAGGCCAATAGAGACAGGCATGATCCCAGAAGGGCTGGACCCTTGGTCAGGAGCCATGACATCACTCAGTCCATACTGTGAGATCAAGTCCAGCTCAGGAATGATGATACCACATGCAGATGGTCACCAGTGGCTGTCTGCAGTCAGCCTCTCTACAGAGAGCATTCTGGTCCTCATTCAAAAGGGACAGGGCCTTTTGTTGACCAGACTTGGGACAAGAAGGAAGCCCTTGTGGCTTCAGTCTCCATGTCCTCTCCCAGCTTAATCTCATCCCTCATTGTTGCCATCATCCAAAAGTAGAATCCTTCTTAGAGGATCATGAGAGAGGGATCCCTTTCCTGAAGGCTCTTGGGATGGAAGTGGCTCTAGCCATAGCCTTCCACATCATGGGGCCCCTAGCACATCTGCTTTCCTTAGGCTGGGCTCCTAGCTCACATCGACGCGACACTGCCATACTCAGGCTGGATGGAGGTCCTCACCCTAGACTTCTTGTCCTTCTGACACCTCAGCCTCTGTCTCAATGAGCCTTTTCTCCCATGTGCTAGGTGCTTGGTGTTTCTACCCCTATGGACTACAGACCTTCCACCCTGCTATGCTCTCCTGGTGGACAGCCCGTGGTAGCAGCAGGAGAGAGGACAGGTGGGAACCAGCACAGTCCCCCTCATATTTCCAGGTGAGTGTCCAACTGAGTGTCTAGAACGCTTCACACAAGATGGGCAGACAACCCGCTCACAATCCACTTCATTCCTCTCAACCCAGTGTGGGAGCCAGGATCACCGTTCAAACTTTGCCACTTGCTGCCTTTCAGACCTTGGACAATTCAATGTCAGTCTCTCTAAGACTCAGAGCTCATCACTGCCCCCCCTTCAATTGAAATCAGTTGCCTTACACAAAAGGCCTTCCCTAGCACCTTGTCACACAGTGGGGTGACTCTGGGAACCCGAGGAGTCTCCACAAACTGGCCAGCACAGCCCAGACTAGCAGACTTTACCAAGCTGGGAAGACGTGAAGGCCATGTGCAGATCATGTTGGCTGCCCACCAGAAGCTTATCCACCAGGTGATTTGATATGTGGAGCCATGATGACCTTGCAGGCACATAAAAAGATCAAGCAATAACAGAAAAAACCCCTAATTCATGGAAAACTTTAGACATACATAAATACATACATACACACACACACTTATATGTATATGTATATCTATATATCTGTATATCTATACATATATATGTATATTTATGACTGACTGGAAAGGGTAATTTCTCGTTTTGCTTTCGTATCACCACCTTTCTCAATATAGCCTTTCCATCTCCCCCTCCCACAGAGTCATCCCTTAAACCAAAGTATAAAACAAGAGGGGAAGACAATAGCTCAGGAAAACCAACCAAGTCAGCAGTGGAGTCCTGCCTTCTGTGCAGATTCCATGCCAGTCGACTCCCGGCCCAGCATTGAAGGGAAGGGAAAAATGTCCTCCTTGATGATCTTTGGGGCCATGCTCCAGCATCATCTTTCCACAACATTTGGTTTCAGATGTTGGTTGTTCACTCCATTTACATGGTTGTATGCGGTGCTTGCTTATCTTGTACTCTTCATTGATTTCTTTCACTTTGCCCCAGTTCATGTAAGTCTTGTCATGTGTATCTTTCTAAAACAAGAGTTGTGGTTTCTTCTAGCATCAGAATATTTCATTGTATCCATAAGCCACAGTTGGTTTAGCCATTCATTCCCCTGCAGATGGGTATTGACTTTGTTTGCTACCAAAGAACTTTCTTGGTGGTTGGATTGGGATGACATAGAATAAGTAAGTTAATTTTGGTACTTTTGTCACTTTGATTCTATTGCCTTGACTTATGCCTGAGCAATGAATATGTGTCCAATTGTTGAGATCTGTCTCTGTGTGTGAAGGATGTTTTGTAATTGTGTTCCTGGAGTTCCTGTGTGTATACTGACCACAGTTTTTTCAAAAGAATTTCTCTCTCTCTCTCTCTTTCTCTCTCTCTTGCTGGATTTTCTTGGTTGATGTATAGAAATGCTGATGGTTTTCATGGGTTACTTTTTTATCCTACAATTTGGTTTAAGGAATTGTTTTAACTGATTTATTTTTGTTGACACTCTAGGGTTCTCTGGGCAAAGGTTGGTGTTTTCCTCAGTCTCATTGTAACCTCTTTGTCCTTCCAGGAGCTGGAAAGTGAGGTTGTGCAGAAGACATCTGAGTGGCACAGGTAAGGCCCCAAACTGCCTGGCAAAGAGCAAAGGAGGGAAAGAGGGGTAGAAAGCTAGAGCTGAGAGAGCACAAGTGAGATTCCCAGGGAGAGAGGGGTCACTGGAGCCCGAACACTTCGGTTAGCAGGTTTATCGATCCAAACTGCAGCCGACCTCAGAGAACAGATGAAGGTACTGAGGCCTGGGAGGGAAATGATCTGCCCAGGCTCTCCCAGGGAGTAGATGTCAGCAAAGACTTGCACCCAGGCTTCTGGCTCTGTCCTTTCCATTGAGTCGTGGTTTTCTTCAGGAGACACAGTTCCATTTCCTGGTCTCTGTTTGACTCCATCCTCCAGTGCCTATTCTCCTGGTTGACTTTGACCTTTCCTTTTGTCCCTGTCTAGTTCTTCCCAAGAGGAGAAAAGGCCAAAGGAGATGGATTCCCTAGAGGCCCAGCTGGCTGGCTAGAGGCAGGAGCTGGTGGCTTTGAGCCAGAGGCAAGCTGAGGTGCAAAAAGAATTACACCTTTGGCCAGAGAAGATGGCGGCCCTGCGCAATGAGGTGAGTCATCTGGTCTACCAGTTAGGCCACGTGTCCCCTGGGCGCTTCCCAAAGATGTAGGCCCATTGGGTGGACTTTATGATATGGACAGGATGTTCCTCATCTGTCAATTGGGATAATAACAGCCCCTAGCAGGTCCAATGAGATGATTTTTGCAAACCTCAAAGCAGTGGAGAAATGCCAGTCACTTGGTTCACCATGCCTTCCCTGGCACCAAGGTGGCACATGGTGACCCCAGAACTCAGAGTGACTCTAGACACCACAGGCCCCCTGTCCAGGCCCTCTTGCTTCCTCATTTCTTCTGTTGCTCTGGTGTTTGCTGAGCTCTTTCCTCTGGTGGCTTCTAGGTGGAGTCTAAGGTCTCTGGCTGGATTGAGCGGGTCCTTGGTATTAAGCAAGAGGAGGTGCAGGCCCAGCTTCATGACCTGGAACACAGAATCATGAGTCATGTGGCCCAAGAGTGGCCCAAGTCTGTGAGCAAAGCTGCTGCCATCTTAAGACTGAGCCTTCTGAAGGAAGGAATGACCACCGGCGTGACGAAGGAGGTGAGGCCTGCCCCACTGGCTGTCCTCCTGGCTGGGGTCACTGGTTTGCCCTCAGAAGAGCCTGCCAGGAGGGAGGGGAAAACCCTGGCTGAGCAGGTAGCATGCTTGCCCGCCCCCCACATGGGCTGGGCCAGCCCTGCAGGTGACCTGGCCCCTGAGTAGTGCATGCCTGTCTTTTAGGAAGTGAACCAGATCATAAAGGAGGCCCTGAAAGAACACAGTGAAGATCGAATCGGGCTTGTGGATTATGCCCTGGAGTCCTCAGGTAGGTGGCCTGCAGAAAGCCAGAGGGCTTGGTTCAAAAGGGATTGGCAAATCAGGATGGACCTTAGGAGACAGGAGGAATTGACAAATCAAGATGCCCCCTATGGGCCGTGGCAGTTAAGAGGGGTGATTCCCAGGCAGCACCCCCTCACCTTGAGGGCTGCCTTAAGCCATCTCTGTGTCCTCCCAACTCTCAGGACCCCCCCTCCCCACACACTTCTCTGCATGTTGCTCTTTCAGGAGCCAGCATTGTCAGTAGCCGCTCGTCAGAGACATACGGCATCAGGACGGAGTGGTCTGCCCATTTCACTCTGTTGGGCATCCCATTGTGGCGCTATTTCCAGTCGCCAAGAGTCATCCTCCAGGTAGGGCTAAACAAAGGTCCCCCAGCTTTGCTCTCTATGTACCATCTGCCACCCTCCTCTATGGGAGCTGGGCCCTCAAGGCAGAGGGGCCCCACAATCGGGATCTGTTCCATCTGCTGCCTCCTTTCAGCTGATTTGTCTTGTGCCCACAGCCAGATGTCTACCCTGGCAACTGCTGGGCATTCCGGGGCCCGCGGGGCTTTGTCGTGGTGCGCTTGTCTGCTCGGATCCAGCTCACTGCCATCACTTTGGAGCACGTGCCCAAAGCCCTGTCCCCAAACAGTGACATCCCCAGTGCCCCAAAGGACTTTGTCATCTTGGTGAGTACCTGAGCCTGGCAGCTCTCCTTTCCAGAGTGGCACAAAGTCGTTTCTTAACAGCAGCATTGCCAGGTGAGCAATGCAAGGCTGTGCCCATTTGACACATGAGACATTGAGGCTGATCTCCTCACTCCAGGCCCAGCCCTTCTGTTCCTCCTCCTCTACTTAGAGAGAAGCCAGGAAAAGACAACCACAGAAGCAAGAACAGCCAAGATTACAATGTGCCTTAGGGTCCTTTACTATAGCCAGTTGCCTGAGTGGCCAGGTGTCCCATGGACGAGTTGGGCAGGGATGGGGATTGCCATTCCCTACACAGTCACCTGGTCAGGGCAGAGATGGAATGTCCATTGTAAGGAGGATTTGGGAGAAAAGATGGAGCCAGAAGAGAAGGTGAAATATGCAAGGGGAGAGGGATGCTTCAGGACCCAAATCCTGACACACATGAAGAAAGTGTGGCACCCATACTTGAAGGGGTTTGTCCCAAGTCATTCAGCAGCTTTGGGGAAGAGGCTGAGAAGGCCGAGGCCTAGGAGGGGAAAGGCTCTGTCTATTGAATTAGTGAGAGAGATGCTAGAGGGTGAGGGGATCAAGGCAGGCAACATGAAGTTGGATTGTGTTTGCTCCTCTTTCCCCTCCCCAATATATCCTGCCTTGTCTGCCTCCTCCTCCCCCTGCCACCTCCCCCATTTTCCCTCCATGGACTGATTTGGATTCTTGTCCTAACAGCATGACCTTTCGTGCACTCCACTCCCAGCCATCCATTTGTCCATCCCTCTATTCCCCTTGTTTTTCCTTCTGTGCAGGGTCTCAATGAAGATTCCCAGGTGGAGGGGATTGCCCTGGGGCAGTTCACCTATGAGAATGCTGGGGAGGCCATTCAGACCTTCCCCTTTCAGGTATGGAGGGTTGGTCCTACAGCAGGGATGCAGGCGTGTTGGTGATCTCCAGGGCTGGATCACCAGCCACTGGGACGCGGTGGCTTGGCAAGTGGCTGCAGTGGAAGCCAGGTCCCAATGGGTCTGATAGGAAGCTGAGGGATAAGCTTGGGGCTGAATTCAGCCACTGGTCTTTGATGGAAGCCTGGGGCAAAAGGGCTGTGGGAGTCCACCAAGGGATCTTGGGCCTTCCTGACCCCACTCTCCTCTTCCCACAGGGCAACGGCACAGCTCCATACCAACTGGTAGAGCTTCGAGTATTGAGTAACTGGGGTCACCCGGACTATACCTGCATTTACCGTTTCCGGGTCCATGGCAAGCCTGCCAATTAGCACCTCCCTCCGGGATCCCTTCACCCTTTCCTCCTTCCACCACCAGCAAACAGCTCCCCCACCTCCTCCTCCCTCCCCCAGGCTCATTCCCTTCTGGCCGCTGAGACATCTGGGAGAGAGACATCTGGAAGGTGGGAGCCCACCTCCGTGGAGCCATCTTGTCCCACCCAGGCCTCTCTGATATGGACTAGACCACCAGCTGAGCGATTTCTCTTTCAATCCCCATCATCTGCAGGGTCAGGTTGCCCAGCTTCCTGCCAGGCCCTGCCCACCTCCAAGAGGTGTAGAAATAGTTTTCTATTATGTGTTGGGGGTGTGGTAGGGACTAATGAAGACCTTGCTATGCTCAGCAGCAGTCCCACAGAAACACAGCTTACACCAACTTGGCTCTAGGGCAATGACAAATTGGGCAGCTGCAAAGGGCAGACCGGTAGCCAGTCTGACATGGGCATGCTCCAGTAGGTGGCTAATGCCACTCTCCAGGGGAACTTGCATGATTCTCTTCACCACCGGCCATGATGGGTGCCGTCTCTGAAATGGGAAGTAACTGGGAATGACCACACTTGTCTTGGCTTTTGATTCTGACAAGACCAACAGCCTGGATTTGCGCTGTCTCCTTTGGGACCATCAGCTAATGTGCTTGTGGCTATGCTGAGCAGGAGACTGGCCAGGATCCTGTTGAGATTGGCCCTTGCCTTGCCCTGTCTAGGGCTGGTGTTGAGCTGATGCTGCCCTGTATCCCTGGGGCAGACGTGACATGGCCCAGGTGCCTCTGCGGGGAAACAGGCCATTGGAGACTCATCAGGCTCTTGCTCTGCACTTGGATTCTAGTTCCTTTTGGGACATGTTATCACATGGGCAGGTGTTAAGTTGATTGGGATAGGGTGGGGGGAGGGGCTTATTGGAGTTAAGGCTGGGATGGGAGAGGGAGGGCACATTTTTTGGGCCTCCTGGCCATTGTATTATGTAGATAAAGATGTTTGTATTTATCTAGAGATCTATTTCATGGTTCTTTTACATCAGATAGAAAAGCTAAGGGCTACATTCTTGGGTGCCTCCCCAGGTCCCCAGGGTGATAGTCACTGCAGCTTCAGCTTGGACGTGGGGGGCTGGCCATGAAATACTGATGGCCACAGAGGTATCGCTGTCCTTTCTGCCTCTTACCATCAGGGGGGGAAGGCAGCAGTTCATACCACAGGGCTGGTCACTGCCTCCAGAAGGCAGCAGGGGCGACCCACTCTTCTGCAGGTTTCAAGGGCCAGCAGCAGCAAGTTCTGGGCTGACCCCAGCTGCCCCTCAGCCCAATCTGACAACCATATAACAGAATGACTTTTGCCTTTCAACAGTCATGATACCGGACATTCTGGAGAGCCTCGGTTCTATCTTACTACATATAGGATAACATGTAGTAGCTTTCAGCCCCCAAATTTTAGGGTATCAATGATGGCCCTGCATTCATGTGTGTGTATGTTTTATATGTGTGGGTCAGGTTTCTTGGTATATACACTTTATCTGGCTTATTTCAATATCAATAATAATTCAAAGAGTAAAGAAATTGTTTATTTAACTAAGAATTTCCCTATTTAGCCAGATTATTATTATAGAGAAACGATAGAATCTGAGCCAATGATATTTGCATCCAAAGTGGGTGGAATGTTAGAGATCAGAGAAACATCAAATACACACACACACACACACACACACACACGGAAACACTCATGGACACACACATGGACACACACACATATGTGCGAACATATACATACACACATGTATACATATGTGTAAATGACACACATGTATACATATGTGTACATACATACACATATACACAAATATTTGCAAATCAAGAAGTGAGTTCTGAGGAAGGTTAAAATAAGTTGTGTTGACACACAGGTCAAATGTAATTTTTACCAGTGTCAAGAATGTGTTTGTCATGTTACCATACCACTAATCTGAAAAATAAACCAACAAAGATCTTTGGGGGAAACTCTTGAATTCCAGCTTCAGAATGAAGGGATATATTTGAGATGAAATCCTGAGAGGCAATGGTGGCAAGTGGATATAACACAGTCTTTACCTTTCATGGGTCAGGTGCCGGCCATTCTAACAAGCAGGAGCTTTGTAATCTCAGGATCCCATCTAGTTGCCTTCCAATCCAAATAGGGAATTGCTTGCCTTCTCAGGGATGGGGTGGTGATGGGGAGGGAGAAAGGGAGAGACTTTGAAACTCAAAGTTTTAAAATAAATATTAGCAAATTAAAATCAAAATAATAATAAAAAAATATTAGTTGGCGTTGACCCTCTGGGCATCTCTGAGGAACAGGCAACCCTCCTGAATATTGGAGGCCATTTACACTCCCTCCCTCAGCAGCCAGAGGTTCATGATGCTGTGGACATCCCCACCCTTGGACTAAGCTCCAAGTCATCTCCAGTAGCAGCCACAATGGGGTCAGGATGGGCAGGATGGAAGGGCTGCTGGGTCTAGAGGGCAGTGGGAGCAAGTGCTCCACCCACAGGGGGAGGATGGTCCCTAGCCCACAGGGGAGTTCATAAACATGATCCCGAGCAAGAAGAAGGCCTCACCTCTAAGCCAGAGTGAAAGGGGGAAGCAGGGAGTTCTCCAGAATGCTGCAGATGTGGACCCACCAGTCTGGGGAAGGACTTTGCTGTCTCCTTTGGTACCTGCATTTGCCCCACCAGGCCAGGGCCAG